TTGTGAAGATCATGCAAGGTAAGGTCCCTGGTGGCTGGAGAAAGGCCATTACTGCACCCATCTCCAAAACAGGCAGAAGGTACAATCCATGGAGCTGCTCAGCCCCAGTTTGGTCCCAGGGGAAATCAAGAAACTAGTCCTCTTCATAACCCTTGTTGTACACATAGAGGTGAATAAGGTAAATGGGAACAGTCCTCATGGATTTAACCAGAGGGCTGGGCTAAAGACTTACTGAAGTCTCTTCCAGTCCTAACTAGTACACAATCCTATGATTCTGTGATTAAAACCCTTTACTGTACATAATGTACTTACTCAAGGATCGTTACCATGCTAATGAAATACACTTCAGAGATTTTTCCTACTGGAGCACAATCACTGGAATATGATATATCATAGCCTTACGGTGTATAAAGCATTCTATGAATTATATAGTATAACATAATTCCTGCCCCGGAGAGCTGAAAAACAGCTAGAGAGAGAAGAAAAGCAGGAAACATTAAAGAAGTTGGAGGAAAATGCAAAGTATTTTTTATTAGTATTTGATCTGATTGCATATAATACAACAAATTGTAGCTATCACTGCAAAGACAAATCTTCAGAAAGGACCTGAGTGGCAAGGAAATCATGGATTTGAAGAGAAAAGCATTGTCTACAATCCAATTCACATCCAAATAATGAGTTAAGTAGTCAGTAGAAGTATATTTCTTTTGATCTACAAGGAATATCCCTAGGTACGTGTTAGATAGTAAATATATTTTAACATAATTTGAAAAAAAATCCACAGTTTTTGAATAAGGCTAATAAATCTTTGTAAAATATAAGTGGAAAGCCGCAGTCTTAGTTAAGTATAAGAAGTATAAGAAGTTTGATCATGTTTGCAGCTTATGTATCACGTTGTTACAGTCAAGTAAAATAACAGACTACATATCTATTCATTTAATGAATCCAATACAATTTTGTCTAATTACTAATTTAATTCCCAGACTTGGCATGCAGCTGTAAATCCAGATGACTGAGGCTTTGTACTTTACAAAATTGGACACAAGCAAATTCCAGTATGCGGGCTGGTTATAAAAAATTTCTTAAAGAAATCAGTGTTGTAAATTTGTTCCAGAATAATGCTGATGTTTGCTTATCATGTTGAGCACAAATAATGGTAAATTTTTTGCAGAAAAGTTGGTCAGAGTACTAAGGCTATCTAAAGTACAAGTATCTTAAGTACTAAGGTACTAAAGTACAAGTATCTTACATATTTGCTGAAACAAAATATTTGTGCCATACTTATAAATGGCATTCCATTGAAAAATGCTGATTTATGGCCATATCTCAGCAGTGTGTTCAAATTAAATATAGTTTGTAAAAGGCAGGGTTTTCTATTCTCCCCTACTTACGTCTGAAAGACAATGTAAGTAGTTTACTTCAAACTAAATGAATTTGTGGGACAGGCAGAGAACAACCACTTTAGCTAGTATTCACAAGGTGTTAACAAAAATACTTAAGAAATTGTCATTCTGGATGAAACAGGTAAATCAAAGGTTGACAAAGTTCTGTGGTTCCTTCTCCCATCCTGTGTCAGAACACAGTATGTATAGATTGTCTTAGTCTCATGTCTGTCTAAACTCTGTTTATTTTAATGATAGGAATTTTACAGCCCCCATCACTCAGCACTCACCTCTACTTTCAGACTGAAAAGCCCTCTTAAAAAAACCTCTAATGCTGAAAATAGAGATGCTTATTTCTCATGCTGTCTTCCAAAGACAGACAGAACAAGAAACCTTCATAGGTCCATAAATGGCAAATATAATTCCATAAATGGTTACTTTTCAGCATGTCCATAAATGGTAAATTCTCAGCATGTCCTTCCTCAGTTGAACAAAAGCTGTCTGCCAAAGACACCATTTCCTTTCTCTTATTTTTGTAAAGCTCATAATTTTATTCTCTGTTCTCTCTTGGTCTATAATGTTCTCTATGTTTTGTAACATGCTGCTTAAAACTTGATATTCTGCTTCCTGAAGTCTGCTGTGAAAGTAAGCAGAACTAAGATATCATCTCCGATGTCTCTCAGTGCGCTTTATTGATCCTTTCCAAGATGGGAGACGGGCACTGCCTCTCCCATTCCAACATTCATTGATTTGTTCCACGATTGCACTTACAATGAAAATAAATTATTAATAAAATATTGAATTTTATAGGACTTAGGACATTTTAATTCTCCTTAAAAATGTTCAATAAGTACCACATCTTTTTAAGTATGTTCTTTTTCAATTTGCCTATAACCACTCAATTGTAATATGGTTCATCTCTATTACAATTTCCTATCAAAGTCATACAAATCAGTGTAAAAATGCTTATCAGAGTCTAAACCAGGATGTTACATTCTTGATTTTCTATGTCAGTTACTACCTCAGAGAGGGTGTTTAGGTCTGAAAATATGCTTTGATACAAATGTCTGGCAAGATGTTTATCCTATTATCACTTTGTTACTTGTTGAATGCTTACAGATTGTTCAGTAGTTTTCCTGGTATATTTATAGGATCCAGGATTAATATGTAGATGGTTCTGCTCACAGAGGTTTCCTTTGCAAGGAGATTACACTCATCTATGTTCTGTGGTCCTGTGGGAGTTCTTAAAGATAATTACTAATGGGTTGGAAATTGATTGACATGTTTCTTAAGTACTTTAGTGCAGTCTCTTGCAACTTGTGGCCTGTGGACTATTGGAGGTCTGTAAGACACCATCTACTATTTACTTCTTTATCTATGTGTTAGACAGAGTAGACTTCAAAACAGAAAAACATGGGAAAGAAGACAATTCATCCAGCAAAGTTTCTATTTATGGCAAAAAAAAAAAAAAGAAAAGAAAAGAAAAGAAAATGGAGAAGAAGGAAGATCTAAACAGCCCAAATTTATAATATGACTGTTATTTATCATTATGTGAATGCAGATACACACCATAGTGTCAATACTATGGAAAATGTGCTATGAATGTTTTTTCAGAAATAGTGGGGAGAGCAGGGAAGGAAATATCTTCCAACTGTACCTAGTAGTATTTTTGACAATAACCTACAGGAGTGAAAACCATAGTTGGGAAAGTTTACTGATATCAATAAACAGGTTGCTAGTGGCTAACTCCTGTGTCTGCTCAGCACACTTCATGTGATTAAACATAAGAAATTCAAAGAGTTATGAAATGAAGCAGTAGTTAGAATGGTACATTTCCAAAACTTTAGGATTACAGGGCAAAGAATCTACCACATAAAGCAACTTTAAAAATCTGTCTGTCATTTATTCACGTCCCAGCTCTCTTTATGGTGCATGGTGGGATCAGATAATTTTCTTTTCAGAGATAAATGCATATTTTCAGTTAGTTAGGCTGACAGAGGAAAAGTTGCAAGAGTTTAGGATTCTGAGGAGTGTGCCACCATTCTCCTATGTACCTCCTTTGCCAGAATTTAAATTTAAGCAGAGGAATAAAAAATAAATGCACACTACCACTCATCTGAGAGAGCGTAGAGGCAAAACCTAGAAAAGCAGTTTCAATTTTCTTTCCTTTGTTCTCATTATTAATATATTTGAATCAAAGGGGAATCAAGGCTTCTTTCTCTAAAAATGTCTTTGAGAATTCAGTTTCTCCATCAGATTTCTGCTAATACAAAATATATGATAGCTAATTTAGCTCAGTGGAATAATTTCATTACTTTTGCTCTTCTGCCCCTTTTCACAACTATTTGAGGCTCCAGAAAAAAAATCAAAACCACCTCTCTAAAGCATCTGTATGTTCTGTTACCTTTTAAAGGACAATGTATTATATAACACAAATATATGAAATGTTGTACAGCATATTGACCACTCTGAAGTGAGAAGTGATGCTGAGGACTCTAACAGATATAAAAAGGTATACCTAACTCCAAAATAACAAAACAACTCTAATTAACTTATGTCTACATTTCCCATGGTGTATTCTTACTTGAATAGTAATTTTCCAAATAAAGGCACCGATAGTTTTGTTTAAGTACATATCTAAAACATGTCTGGATGCTGTGACTTTTGATTCCATAGAAGAATTCCCAAGTCACTTGAAGATACTGTTTCAGTACATCTAACACACAGGCTAATTCTGCTTTAATATGCAGTTAAGCAATTATGGTGACTTGAACCAACTTAGTGTTAATTGACTTTCACATTGTGGCTTGGATGTTAGATGAAGATGAAAATCCTGTTTCAGGTTTCTCTTTAACCTGAGAAAGTTTGAACTTAAAACTTTACAAATGGTGAACAAATCATTGTGTCATGTACTACTTCTCACTCTGAAGCAAAGAAGACAATTTTCATTGAAGAAAAGAAGGAAAAATGATGCAGTGTGAACATGTATCTGTTTAGTCACTCAGTAAGGAACAGGATCTCTCAGTCTTAGGTATTTACTTCCTGAAGTATGTATGTATGTTGTGTTTAATAGGCCTCTTGATCACTTTGTTACCAGGACCATTCTGGCGGATCAAGGAATGCTCAAGCTTTCTGGGTAGAGAAGGTGTGTTTTTTGATTACAGCTGAGAGAAGACTGCATGCCTGCTTTATCTCTTCAATGAAGAGAAATTTTGTTTCAGACTGATATTATTTGTTGTACTGTGTTATCTTTATACTGGAAAAAAATAAAAGCAATATATTCCTTGTGTTATTTGTATTCAGGAGAACCTTTATCATGAATTGTATTCATGATATTGTATTAAAATCAGACAGAATTGATTTCACAGAATTGTTTCTGATTTCACAGAATATTCTGAGTTGGAAGGGATCCAACAAGTATCATAGAGTCCAACATGATAAGATAATGTGGAAAGACACTGAAATGTCAAGTGCACCAAGCAGGAACTGCAGTGCACTCATGCAGAGCATGAGCATTTTGTCAGAGTACTTGGCAAGGATAAGGCAACTACATTCCTTCTTGGAAATCAAGAAATCCCAAAAATTGAATACTACTTTTTTTTTTTTTTTTTCTCCTAGACCGTCAACCTCAAGTGCCTTCTAACAAGAGAAAACAAGGACTTAGCACAGGGACAACATTTTAGCTCACCTGTCTTTTAATACTTATTTCCTTCAAAGCACACAGATGAGATGCTACAGTTTCTGAGACTGAGTTGTCTTTTTTGTGTGTGTTTGTGCATCATCCTGCATATTAGGGAGCCAGTCAGTGTTTTGGACCCTACAGTACTAGTTCATTACAGATTCTTCCATATAGTTGTACATCTGTCTTTATTTGTTTCTCATCTGGAAAGAACAGTACAAGCATAATTTTGATGGACCGTATAGGAAAAAAACCGCAAACAGAAATGACTGACAACTTGTTGTAAAATGCATCATACTGGAGAATGAAGATGTGAAAAACCCAGACTTTACCAAAGAGAAGTAGTAATACATACCTTGAAAAAATTCACTTGCAAAATTGATTTTATAATAGTATTTTTTTCCATCAAATCCTCTGAAGGTTGGCACAGAAGAGGAGAAGGAAAAGAACAATAAAATCCTTGACCATGACCTACTGTTGGCTTTTCCAAGCATTATTTCCATAGCTTTGTGTTGATATCAGGGAAAACAAACACAATTACCATCATTTTCTGTGTTTTGATTTTGGAAGATTTAGAATTCTAAAGGTGGTTCTATGGCTGTCTCTTCAATGTGTAAATTTATCCGTTATGTCTTGGAAAGTCTAATGTTAATAAAGAATGATGAAGCAAAAATCATTGTGTTCAAAACATTTCGTCTTTTATTTCTTAGCATGTACAAGAGGTTGTTTCATTAACTGAAATTTTCATGTCTAACGTTCCCTGAGATCTAGAATATTTCATGTTAAAATTGGATTTCTTAGTGATGATCTCCTGTTGAGGGCAGTCTCTACATATGTAAGGCGATTAAAAGATTTTGTTTCTGCAAGATAGACTTTATTCCTCTATGTGTATCTGGTCCCATTGACTGGGACCTGAATGTTTCTTCATTTTAGTAGAAGACAAATAAGATGGTTCAAAATGCATAAGTTGCATATTATATTAACCACAGATGTGCAATGTTTAATTCCACAAGAAGAAAAATGGCAAGACTTTTTTTTTTCATTAAATTCTACTTATATTTCTGATCATTCTATATTCAAGATATAAACAGAAATAATCCAGGAAAATAAATTAGACAGACCTCTAAAGGCCTAAAAATTTTTTACACGATAATATTACAGCTTTTTATCTTTTGGAAACAAGTAATGATAAACTTTGTGTTACCTGTACATTTATTATATAATGATATACTCAAGCAGTCACACAAGTTCTCCTATTTAGCTTATCATACAACAGCTAGGCAAAAGATATTCAATGGCAACTGACAAACTTGAGAGATATCTAATTAAGCCACGGAATTCTTTGCTACATCACTTTACTCTTCCCAATGAATTAGTAGGTTACACAGATTATTTACATGTGAAAGTGTAATGTGTATTAGATGTGCAATATATTTGTGCTTCTGCATATACAGGCAGAGTTTGCCTGAGGTTAGAAAGAAACATCTTTTATTTTGAAATTATTTTACCAGAATTCCTTTTATGCAAATCATAGGGAAACTTCTGACAGTCTTTGAAATTTCCAGCACCTGAATACTGTTGCAAAATAAACCACCTGAATCCTTAAGACTCAGTCTTGAAAAACCATGTGGTGAAACCAAACTGAAGTGTACAAGACAACCACATGCCCATGGGCTAGTCCCCATATGTCTGCATGAGATTCAGTAGATACGAAAAATCGTCAGCACTAGAACAACTTTTGAGTTAACAAAGTTTCTGGTAGTTCTTGTGCTTTCCACAGGATAGTCAATGATGCAACCTGCCTCAAAAGTCATACAAATCAACTGAAGATACATACACATCAACTTGCGGACTCCTATGAATGTGCTTCTTTAACGTGATGCTCAGCTCTGAACAGTGAGATTTTACAGAGAAAATTGCAAACTAACATATAGTCAGGCAGTTGAAAGCAGAATAAAAATGTTACATTAACTTCTAAAAAAATTACACTCCAATGAGAAACTTGTAAAACAGTTGTACTGATACCTGAAAACACAGCAAGACTGTTTTGATTTCTTGTATTTTAGTTAATTATGGTGCGGAGTACATGTAGGAAGATGTCATTAATAATAACCACATGCTATTAAAGGTGCACACTCATATAATCATAGATACCTGAGTATCTTGTGGAGAGCTGGAGAGAATCCTTATAGAAGGTCAGCAAGTCATGCTTGGACAGTTGTTTATGCTGAGATTTAGCTGAATCCTAGTGGACTTTTGTATAGACTGCTTCTTCTTCTCACACATCACCACATAAGGTTTGGCCTCATCCTACTCAGAAGCATCTGTAAGCACCTGTCAGGCACAAATGTTTGTATCAAATGGGGTTACATCAGGCTCACAACCCCTCACTAGTGGTGTTCCACAGGGCTCAATTTTAGCAAGCTGTCAGGATTGCTGAAAGGACTTCACTCTAAACCTGAACCACATCTAAATCTAAAAACTGACCTTGCATGGTAGGAAGAAACTTTTCTTGACTGTGTCAACCAAAATAAAACAACTGTCATGGTACAGATTTTCCTCAAAATTTATGGTGTGTAAAACGTTCCTACTCTGCAACTTCACTTTTTCGTCTATTTAACACAGTTAAAAGAAAGGTTCTTCCACCTCTAAATTAGCAAGTTTTTACTATATTTAACCTCAATGGAGTCCTTCTACAGTAAAATATAATTCATCAAAGCTGATAGTGTCTAGTCAAAAGTGACTATCTGACTATTTTCCTCCATTTGAGAAAGCTTTTGCAGGTGAGTGTTGAAGCATATATGACAATAAATTAAGTAATTTCATCTTCAGTATCATCAGTCTGGTATCTTTCATGGATAATAAATGCACTCAGAATGAAAAAGTGATATTCTTGGTGACATTATAAGGGTCTCAAGTCTGTTCTCTAAAATGGTCATATTTCAGAAAATATTTATAATATTTTTATTGTTGAAGAACAGTATTTTCCTTTCCTTCTTTGAACTTTTCTGGAAGACAATAATTTCAATGCAATTACTGTGAGAAAACACAAGTACTGTGACAAAGTTAGTAAGAAAAAATGCACAAGTTTTTTCTTGCTAATTATAACCACAGAGACAAAACTGAGGTATAGACACACACACAATATTTACTATTTGTTATTCTTCAACAACAAATTATACTTGATTTGGATTCATATATATATTAAAGACACTTAAAATAAAAATTTCCTTCTGACTCACAAAGATTTTTTAACATAAACTCAGTCACAATAGGACTTATGTATACATATAAGAGATTTTTAAAGTAACTTTTTTTCTTAATTCCTAATAATTTAATTTATGCCATCTCATGATATTCAGATCTGAAACATGAAATGGTCTGATTCATTTAAAGTTATAAGTTCTAAAATTAAAAATGAGTACCAAAAAGTAGCTAAAATTACAGCTCATGGAAACTTAGAAATAATTTTAAGGATTTTGAAGAATAATAATCTCTAGTTGTTTAAGCTTCCAGCTGTAGATCACTCATGTTTAACCTAGTTTAATGCCCAGTGCCTCAAATTTGTTATCCTTTGAAGGCTCCTATGCAATTCAGTTGAAGCCATCCATTAGATACAGTTTTCTACAGAAAAATGTCCACATAAAGAAAATAAGCCCAATAAAAAGAAACCTTGTTATTAGCCTCAACTAAGGTCATTGAATAAAAAAAGCATGAAGATCATTATAAGGATTGTTTACCTTACTGATATTAAATCCCACAAAGAGTTCATAAAGAGAGGAAAGGAAAGAGATAAGATGGAGAAAAAGAGAGGAAATATTCCACAAAATACAGCTTCAGAAAGAATCTTTCCCCAGAATACATTTAGCAACATAAGAAAAGAATACTATATATGAAAATGCAATGAAGCACTGTGAGATACCCTGAATTACTTAGCCCATGCAGATGGTTTGCAGAATGTCTCCACCAGCACTGTAGTTAAACTGCAGAGGTGTTCTGCTTTTTGTTACTGATATTGTCACGACAAAGAAAACTCATTCTCTGCTGGGTGCTAGAAGGATTTACATCTGCACTTGTTCTGAAAAGAATATAACATTCTCTGTTAAGTAACACCAATGACAAATCCTCCACCCCTGGAACTTAAACTTCTGACACAGAGTGAAAAAAACAGTTGCTGCTTCCCATACTCGTACTATGAAGTGCTAATGAAAAGCCTGCAGAGCTCTTGTGCTTAAAGCCACTTCCAAATTACTCAGTGGTTTCCAACCAGCCTCCTGGTATTACTGTGATTAGATTTAGGAGTATTGAACTCATGTGGGTAGAAAAACATATTTCTGTTGCTGATGATGTGTGCTTCATGCAGAACAGAAGGATCCTAAGGGCCATTAACTTCACCAAAATAAATAAAACTCTATCAAAGAAACACATACAAAGAAAGAGAAGGAGAAAACCTTTCAGAAACTGGTTTTCTCAAAAGGAATGGATGTAGAAGGATTCTTTATGCTAGTCTAGCTTTAAACTAGTGCCAGAACACTGAAAATTATTCAGAACATCTCTGATGTATGAAGAAAAGATTGGAACAATATGCTTTTCTTAAACAGTGGTTGAAGAAACAGTTCATGATTCGCATATTCTATAGGATATTGGCACATACTTACTTGTAACCAAATATCTATTCTTGAAAAAATAAAATACTTTCAATAGTCTCTTCCCAGGCTATCTCTCTTCCTTCTTGCTTATCATCCTGTACAAATTCTTAAAAGAATTTGCCTTAATTCAAAGTTTTTCACTGACACCACTTCCATTCTTCTCAATTCCTTCCTGTGCATCCCATTCCTTCCCACAATTATTTCATCAGCATGTAAGTTTGACTTACCCCTCCTTACTGTCCATTCCTGGTTTCTAGAAGAAAGGATTATATCTTTAATTAACATACTCTTTCAAGCACACCTTTTTACTGGTATGTGTCATTCAGTCTTTGAATCAGAAACCATTGGTATCCTTATTTAAAAAACAAAACAAAACAAAACAAATATCT